GAAACATTTTAAAGGAGAACTATGGGGTTAAGTCTTTTCCCCATAGTTCTCCTTAGGGTAACGGAAGAACACAAACTAGCGTCCTCCCGTCACCCTAGGCTCAGTATACCGCGAGCTGTAGCTTGCGGTATACTGAGACGCCGCAGCTGAAGCTGATCCCGACAATTGTGCCGGGATCCGCCCAGCTGCGTGACTGACAGCTGGCTCTGCCTATCTAGAGGCAGAGCCAGTTGTACCCGCCCCCTCCCCCATCTGATCCACCAGTAAGCGCTGGCGGAGGGGGGAATCCAGCCCCTTCCCTGTCACGGCAGAGAGCCGTGACATGATTGAGAGGTGAGCGAACGCCGGTATGTGTTCGCTCACCTCCCGATTTACTGAGCCGACCTGTGACAGTCTCATTGTCACAGGTCGGCTAGAACTATGAGGTGAGTGAAAAGCACTCACCTCATAGTTCTTCTTTAAGTAATATCCTACTGACGCAGGGGAACCTGCAGAGCCACACTAGTTGTACATCCCAGGCACTGTAGACAGCATTATGGAGTCAGTCACAATACATGGGAGTGGACCTGGACATGTCCTATCGCTAACTGGCAGTGATGAAGAGGGTTATCAATAGTAACGACTTGGCCACTTATCCAACTTCAACCCAAAAGAAGATATTGCCCTACCTAAGCACAGAATTGGAGGCAAGGTGAGCTCTTTGCAGTGAAGGATCTAGTCATGAACGTAGAGAACACAAATAGCTTCATAATGTAACTGGAGAGGTGGATGTATATGACAGAAGAATCACAAACAGATCCTGTAATGCGACTAGGATGAAGTGATTTTTTTTTTCTTGAGATAAGAATACCGTCTTTGTTTTGATATGCATTTAGGCTATCATCTCACTGCTTTGCACTCATACCCAAGTGTGAGGATGCTCTTTAAATTGACATTTGGCTGGAGGACAGCATTACCAACTGACTTCATGTATCTGTCAGTGGCTCCAGGAGTGAGATCCGGCAGCCCTTCTGCATCTTGCTTTGTATTATAAATGTAATAACATGACAAATCCACCAGCAAGAGTGAGACCCTGAGTCCAGGCCTTGGTAAGTAGGCTGGATTGTGAACTCTGAGATCTGGCCACCAAGGTTGCTTAAAGAAACCTCATAACTGATTCAAATAATCATTTATCTACCAAAACCTGAAGTCGGTTATGTGTGGCTTAACCTTTTATTGTACCTAGACAGCACACTTATAGAAGTACACATCCTGCAATGAGGATACCCCAAGCACCTTGCTCATTTTTTTTAACAATTAAATTACCTTACAGGTCCATTCTGGAAATGTTGACTATAGAACTTTAAATGAAAATCTGTCATGGGGGGAACAAAACTGTTGTAGATGTAGCATGTAGGCACCTAGAGATGCCTTCAACAGCCTCCCAAACTGTCATGTCAAGGCCAGGTCTTTCTGACATGCTGAGCTTGGTACTTCCTGTTTGTGACAAAGCTTGCCTCTCCCCTCCTTTATAATCTTATTTGCCAGTGGGCCAGTAGGGATGTGCGAGAGATTGGAGCTTAGTGCCAAGCCTAACCACTGATCAAATTGTCAGAGCCTTGCCTGCTAGAACAGCCTGGGATTCAGGTTGCTGCAAGAATGTGTAGATATCTTTAGGTACCTGAACTTTATACCTACAGTAGTTCACAATCCCCCCCCCTTAATGTTTTTAAGTGTATGTAAACACCAAATTAACTGTTTGTTTGCTACGTTTATCATTAATAGCGTTTTGCTGTATCTGTTCCATAAGTGCAAATTAAAATCCCTGCTGATTTTGCCAGCAATCTTTTGAGCTTACAATGTCCTGTGCACAAGGAAGGATTATGAAGATGCAGAGAGGGCTGTGTGCTTTGTAGTCCATAAGAAGAAGAAAAAGTAGGCAGAGCTGACACCATGTGCTTAGAAATTCAGAGTGGTGTTTTTTCATGTCAAAAAGGAAGAAAGTAGCATACTATTTCTGCCATATCAACAGTTATTTTTCTGCATTTATACCCTTTTGCCTTGACATATGTTTGAAGGAAACTCATCCCTAAGAGAATATGTATGCTACTTTTGCTGACCACTCCACCCGCACTCAATAGTTGGCTGCAATGTGAATCCAATACCCAGGGAGTGTTGGAAGGATAGTCACAACGGCAGTCCACATTTCGCCATCCAAGTTTATTTTACTATGAATAAACACGTATGCTAACTTGTAGTTGCTATAACTTTCTAATAAGCTTATTGAATGCTACACCCAGCACTCTCATTATCATCTGTATACAACATTTAGAGTGAAGTTGAATAGTGCTCCATGAAATCTAAAAGCTTATTAAATGCTTGTGGAAGCCGTTTAGTGTTAATACAGGAATGCTGAGGTCTTAAGGGCATTAGAGGTGTGTTAACGGAACTCCCTTTCCTCTGCACTGCAGATGTGAAGTTCTTATGGAGTTACACACAGGCATTGGAGGGCTGCCAAATGACATGCACATTTGTAAGGAAACACACCTAAAAGTTAGATGTTTTGGGGAATATTCCATCTGATTCACGGCTTCGGGTTTGTGTGATGTTCCCTTCAAGTAATTGTGTCACAAACCTAACATAAAACAAGGACCTCTAACCAGGCCTTAACGTCACAGTAAACAACATGTCAACATTAGCAGTAGAAAGTAGATATAACCAGCTAAAGTCATTTACAAATGTCAACTTTTAATAGAAGGGTGGAGCTTACCTCTTTTTACTTGCCAAGGCTCCATCCTCAACCTTTAATATGATATGCCGACTTAATGACCAATTGGAAGCCTTAAACGGTGTGTGGGATGAAGGTCATAGTCAACATTTAGGGCAAAAAGTCAACTTTTCATATAATTTCAGTTTCTATACCTCTGGATCTACTGACAGTTTCACTGTTGATGACCTCTCCTTATGCTAAATGTGAATGAGTTTTGTTGAAGCTCACTAGTACTGCACAACCTTCTGCTTCACACAACATATACATTTATCCACTTGTGTCAGTCCAGCATGTTTTTTTTTTGTAGCAAAGAAAAAACGTAATTGTCCAAGAATATTCAACTTAAAGGAGAACTATGGGGTCAGTGTTTTTCCCCATAGTTCTCCTTGGGGTAACGGGAGGACACAAACTAGCGTCCTCCCGTCACCCTAAGCTCAGTATACCGCGAGCTAGAGCTCGCGGTATACTGAGCTTAGGGTGACGGGAGGACGCTAGTTTGTGTCCTCCCGTTACCCCAAGGAGAACTATGGGGAAAAACCCTGACCCCATAGTTCTCCTTGGGGTAACGGGAGGACACAAACTAGCGTCCTCCCGTCACCCTAAGCTCAGTATACCGCGAGCTAGAGCTCACGGTATACTGAGACGCGGCACCTGGAGCGGATCCCGACTTAGATGACGGGATCCGCCCAGCTGCGTGAGTGACAGCTGGCTCTGCCTATCTAGAGGCAGAGCCAGCTGTACCCGCCCCCTCCCCCGTCCGTTCCGCCAGTCAGCGCTGGCAGATCGGAGCGGGGAGAGGGGAATCCAGCCCCTCCCCCTGTCACGGCAGAGAGCCGTGACAGGATCGAGAGGTGAGGGAACCCAGTATGTTTTCCCTCACCTCCCGATCTACTGAGCCGACCTGTGACAATGAGACTGTCACAGGTCGGCTTAGAACTATGACGTGAGTGGAAATCACTCATGTCATAGTTCTCCTTTAAGGTAATTAAAGTGGGCCTCAAATCAAAAAGTGAAGATTTGCTATGTGTTAGAGAGCAAGTATCCTAAACAATTTACTTTTTGTCTTGAATTCCTCCAGAAAAAATTGTGTACTTCCTGGAGCCTCATAGCTGTGTATCTGCAGTGTAAGATCAATTAAAACACACTGGGGGGAATTTATTAAAACTGGAGCAGTTGCTCATGGCAACCAATCAGCTTCTCTCTTCAGCTTGTTCAGTGAAGATTCACAGCTGCTCCAGTTTAGATAAATTTATCTCACTGTGCCTCTGAATGCGTCTCAACTAGAGGGAGATTTGGCAATGTCACTACCGTGCTGCTCACTCTTTGCCTTTGCTGAAAATGAAGTTGTACCTAAGGATATATTTGCACTGCATTTCCTTGTTTTTGTGATTCCTCCACCTAGTCTGCTGCTTCTTAGTCATTACTGCACTAGTCATCAGGGGGTAGCCCTGATATGAGGAAGCAAAGCCCTGCACCTCTACTAACATGGCCACCACTAGACAGAGACACAGCATGGAATAAGGCATGCCAATCAGGCCATCCTGAACTGTGCACAGGGCACCTGGGTATATAGAACTATAGGGAGTCTGATGGCTCCCATGGTGAAGAACTTAAAGATCCCTTTGGCAGTCCCTGGAGAGAGGGTACTAGACTATTTTAATGACCGTTATGTGAAAAAGTGAAGCCTTAAAGCCTCATTTAGATGTGGTACCCCGAGAGCAATTCAATTACATTTTACTTGTGATCATCCAAGCCAGGTAACCTGGTAAGAATTGGACTATGAAATGGATGAAACAGGAAGCAAACAACCATCCTCAAATAAAACATGTATTAGGTAGGTCTTTTTCACCACCACCAAAAAAAAAACATGTAGATCAGGGGCCGACAACACAATCTAGTTTTAGCTGTTTCGTAGTGTAACTGACTGCTAGGTAAAGAGAGGCAGTGAAAAGCAAAAAGTACAAGAAAAATAATACAGTCAACCTAAGTAATTAAAGGGATATTCCACCCAATGACAGAGAGGCTTTTTTTTTTTTTTCCCTCTTCTGATAACACCGTTCATCTAGCATTCCCAGCCACCCCCCTCCCCTTAGGGAGTATCAAAGTAAACATCTACCATCAAGGCTGCACCAGGAGGATGGAGCTTAAACCTCCAGTGCCGAGATTCCACTACTGGTATTCTAAGGAATATAAAGCACTGGCAGGTTATCCAGCTCATCAACAACCACCTATAACAAACACTGGTTTTGGGTGGACTGACCCTTAAAAGGGACGCATATGCTAATTAAAAAAAAAAAGTGTGTCTTTATAATATAGTTCCGATAACTATAATGTAGGAGAATTTCCAATAGTCTCTCCTGTACGCAAGTTCAGTGCGTACATAAAGCTGGTGGAATAGTAAAATAAAAGAACGTAAAATATATATATAAAATATATATACAGAATATATATTTACATGCAGATTCCCAGCATTAAAAAACATAATGAAGCATCGGCACAGATGAAGGGAGTGTGTGCAAACTGCATTTGTTTGTAGTAGAATGAAGCATCTGTCCCTGCTGCCTTCAGAGATGCTCCCCAGCATCATGTGATGTCTTCAGGTGTCAGCAGGATCGGCCTGGATCAGGGACCAATCATGGGCAGGCTGATGGCATAAACACTGCATGCTATCCACGAGTGGTGTAAACCTTCCCATTCTCTTGCTGTGTCTCGGTTCAGGCCATCTTGGGGGAGGGGGTACGGGACAGTGGGTTACAGGATCACACATGGACAGCTCTTGGATTTTTTCTTCTTAGGGTTAACAGTTGGGGTTGGTGGGCTCTCAAATTCATGAAATTTTCTGCAAGGGACAATGACGACATTAATGTTAGCAACGAATAAAAGATATCACTCCAGCCAGTCATCAAAGAATAGCTCAATTAGGAAATATAACAAGGGGGCAACAGCTGGGGCTATACTCAGTTACATTTATTTATGGTACAAGAAGGTCGCTGTCAATTTAAGCAGCACTTTACATACTATTCATTTACATCAGTCCCTGCCCTGAGCCTAAGGTACCCATCTCATATGCACACAGACTAGAATTTAGAGAAGAACTAATTACCCTACCAGTAATTAGTGATTAGTAATTAGCATGTTTCAGGAGGAAGCCCACACACGCACAGAGAGAACATGCAAACTCCATTCAGATAAAGTTCTGGCCAAACTGGGACCTCAGAGCTTTAAAAGCAGTAATTTTAGCCATTGCCACTGTGCCTACCCAATGTAAATGCAAAAACAACCTCAAGACACATCTGTAATAAACATCAGCAGCAAGGTTTGAATATGGATGGTTGCTAGGGGGAATTCTTATTACAGTGGACCTCTCCTTAATCACTTAAAGACCTTGGGTGTACTATGTGTTCCCTGCAGGGCTTCAGGCAAACCTCCAGTGTGTAACTGGTATGAAGAATTTCTACAAAGAATCTTCATCACTTTCAAATCAAAAGGGGGTCTCTAAATCTCCCATAGAGAGTGTTGAAATAGAATTTAAAGTGACCTTTTATCTGCTGGATTTAGGATGTAGAGTGAACTTATTAGAGTGAGCTGACCTTTGTATGTACCGTTGTACCAAGTATGGTTTGCAATGTCCCCCCTCACTGGATGCTCATCATCCTGGTGTGTTAGCTTTTTGAATTAAAGGAGGCGAGTGAAAATCACTCAGCCTCCTGGTTCTGGCCGACCTGTGACAATGAAACGCTCACATACCGTCGCTCGCTCACTTCTCGATCTATCCCTGCAGAGCCGTGACTGTCACTCAGGGCTCCCTGCAGGGATTCCCCTCCTACCCTGTCCGATCCTCCAGCACTGACTGGCGGAATGGACGGGGGAGGGTGCGGGTACAGCTGGCTCTGCCTCTAGATAGGCAGAGCCAGATGTCGATCCCGCAGCTGCGTGGATCTCGACAGTAAAGTCAGGATCCGTCAAGGCTGTGGCGTCTCAGGATAACACGAGCTGTAGCTCGCGGTATACTAAGCTTTGGGTGACGGGAGGGTGCTAGTTTGTGTCCTCCCGTTACCCTTAGGAGAACTATGGGGAAAAGCCCTAACCCCATAGTTCTCCTTTAAACTGTTACTAAACCCGAGAACAAAAATGTTTTATATTGTCATTTACCAGTCCTTTGATGTTCTGCCTGCACAAGTCTTTTTTAGCATGGGACTATACTACAGAACACCCCTCTTCTCTATAACAGTGGGAGGTGTTTTGTAGCCTACGGAGATAGTTGAATACAACTGAGTACAGCACAAGCTATTATGAGTTCAAAAGATTCCTGGCACGATCAACAGGTTTGTTTTGCACTTGTATTACTGAACTGAAACTTTTTAGATATATTTTATAACGATACTAAACTCAGGAGTTAAAATCTTAAAATATATTCAAGTACCATAATTATTAACAAAACTGTGCCTAATTTGTGCATCACTCGGCTGTAGATCCTCAAATCACCTCTGAATTGGTGCCGCACAGTCATTCCTTCTGGAGGGGGGCTACTTTGTTTCCCTGTAGTACCTGTGTGTGTTGTAAAGTAGCCACCATTCCGAGCTTGCTCCTGCAATGGACTACAATCTCATTACAAATTAGTAAACTAAATGTGAGATTGTAGTCCATCACGGGAGCGAGCTTGGAGCGGTGGCTACTTTACAACACACACAGGGAGCATGGGGAACCAAAGTAGCCCTCCTCCAGAAGGAAGGACAGTGTAAGCACCAATTCAGAGATGATTTGAGGATCTACAGCCGAGTGATACACAAAGAAGATATATTTATGTTAATAGTTAATTTACTTCAATGCATTTTTAAGATTTAAGTTCTTAGTTTAGTGTTACTTTAATTTAGTGCAGTATAGTAACTTAGCTTAGTATAATGAAGATGTGTCTCTGGGAGTTAAACTGATCTAGTGATCCTGACAAGCATCGCGAGTGTAGCGTAGCATACCATAGCTATGAGGTGAGGTCACTGTGGTCTACAGCCAGAGGGTGGAGAGGGAGATTGCACTAACACGTTCTGCCTTGCTGCACTCTGCAATGATTATAACATGAAGGCCTTCCTTTGCTTCCTGCTCACCTTCCCATGCCACTTCCTAAAGCATCAACTTTCACATCCTGTTTCAAAACCTAAGTAGATGGAAAGGCTAAAATAACCCACAATTAATATGTAGCCTCCCCCCCACTGTTCGTATACATGCTGCATACGGTTTGTTAGAAACCTCCGGGTAAATACCATTTCTTGATCTGCTATAGACCTATCAAGTGACTGCAAATTTCCAGCTCCTCTGTGTCAATGAGCAGCTGCTACAACTGGTGGGAAAGTAATGACTTTTCTTTTTTCTTTGCGCTCTCAGATAGTACTCAGCAGAAACCCCCTCCTTGGAAAGAGACCTTTAGATTCAGGATTGACTCATAGCGCCCCTATAGGTCTAATAAGCGCTTCTGGTTACCAACAACCCCCACGTTACCTGATTGCCCTGACCAGCTCATGGAAAGATTCATCTACATTTAATCGGATCTTAGCTGAGGCTTCCATATAAGGGATTCGGTTTTCCCGTGCAAAGTTCAGGGCTTCCTCTTTGGTGACCTGTTCATGGGAAGCAGAAGTAGTAAATTCGGAGTTCCAGTCAGTAAGTGGAAGTGTGCATCAATACTTCCTCAATATAACGCCAAAAAACACCCACAAATAGGCATATGTTTTGGCTACGATTTTATCGTAGACAGACAGAAATGATATGTCTACTTGCTATAACCAGACGCAAAGATTAGTTTGTTACTAACAAAAAAAATGATTACTACAAATGATTCATTATATGTTAGATTTCATTAGCCTATACATGAACGATCATTATATACAATAATATAGCAATAGATCGCCAAATATGTATCTACATGTACCTACTATATACTGTAGACCCAATTAATGACAAAAATATAAGAAATAAGATTTTTGCACTCAACACAAAATCCTTTTCTCTGCTTTCAATGAAGGACACAGTGGATATAAAGATCTTCACTCTGTTCTTCAATGAACAAAGGAGAAAAGATGTATTGCCACTTCCATAGCTGTACAATGCTTCTCATGGATTCTATTACAGCAGCTTTTTGGTTTACCTGTCTCTGAAGATCCAAATCTGCTTTATTGCCAACCAGTATCATTGGAAACTCATCTCTGTCTTTAACGCGGAGGATCTGTGTATGAAACTTGCTCATCTCATTGAAGCTAAATAGGAAAAGAGAAGCAGACATGTTTCCTGGGTTGGAAGTAATTTCGCAGACATCGCACATCGTTCCAAAGCTGGACGTACACTATACAACAATACAATTTCCTTCGTATTTACCAACAGCTATGCTGACCTAGCTGATTGAATACTACACGTTAAATGGTTTGTAGGTGGGACCTTGCATTACAAACTTTGTGGCAATTAACAAAATTGTACAGATTGTGTAATGTATCTGCAGCCGACTTGGACATAGGTACATGACAGCAGAAGTGGCATTGTGACTGCTATGCAGGATCTCAAGTGACATCGGGGCTGCTATGCAGAAGACTGCCCAGTTTAAATAGTTTGTTACATTCAATACATATCTTTCTTCAGAGAAAGCAGACCGGGAAAAAAAAAACGTCCTATGTGAGAGTTAGCGGTTGTGCTTTGTATAGATGCATGTGGAAAAAAGTTTGAATTTCTTTGGAAGATCATCGTGTGCTGGTTCCACAGTTTTTGAGCCTATTTCTCCGGAAGAGAGTCATCCGTGTACCAAATGTGGATTGTGGGGACGCATGATAAGGGTGAGCTGTGCACTTTGTTTTTTCATGATATGATGGGGACCCCCACCTTCCCTGTCAAGTGTTCTCAGGTCCAAGATATCATTAGCACATCACGTTTAGATGAGAAGAGAGGACAATTGTCACCAAGAAGAGACGTTTTAAGGACCTTAGGGACCCCTTTCTGAGGCAGCAGTGACAGCGTCACGGATCTCATGGATTGGGACTAATGTTGTGGTGTCACCATTTCCCGATAGCACCCTTTTATTGTTGGGTCTAATTGCTGCATGGAGTGCACTGGACTTCTTGGATTTGTAGACCAACAGGGAGATCTCCTTCGCCCAGAGTTTACCTGTGACAGCCAGGCCTCTTGTGCAAGCTGCACCATCCTGGTTCCTCTGTCCAAAGTACATTTTTCATGTACCTCTATGGAGATTACCCCCAGGGAATCACAGACACCATGATGATGGCTTCACTGGCCCCCAAATAAATTATCCACAAATCCACAATAAATTATCCACAATAACAATTCAGTTCGCGAACAGGAAGTTCAACAAAATGTTGCTTCCGTTTGCGAACTCCGCATCGGGTGACAAACACAACTGCAGCCATCTTCCCTACTCTCACACATGGTCGTGGCTTCCTCTAGTCGAGATTGCGGGCTGATCACAGTTTGATTCGGTTTGCGATCAATTCGGTTCGCGACCAGGATCGTGGAACGAATTAAGTTCGTGAACTGAGGTACCACTGTATATGCACTCTAGAGAGGTGTCACAGAAAAGTAATGGCTGACAAAAGGTATTGGAGCTGAGAGAGAATCACCCTGCCTATAGGTTACAGACAAAGGTTAAAAAAAATGGTGGGGGATCAAATCCTGCCTCAACTCCCACCTAAAAATGAAAACAGTTAAGAGGAGTCAGACCTCAAATAACATCTGAAAGGAAGACTGTGTGGGAAGAAAAAAGTTCCATGATCATAGATACTAACGCAATAAAGTAAAGGTTTCTAGAGCAGAAGAAGTGTAATAAAAATTTGGCCTTCAGCAAATCTAATAATGGCAGCTACACTCAGCCCTTTAAAGAGCAACTGCGGGTAAAAAATGTTTTTATTAACCCTTGCAGTGGGGCTGCAAGGGTTAACTGCTTGTTTTTGCCTAGGGTCAAAAATAAAGCTATACTCACCCAATCCTCCAAGCCAGCCAACTGTGACAGCGCTCCCTCCTGCCTGTATCCTGCGATGAAACGATGGAATGTCCCTTGGCGTCCTCACATTTTATATACTGTGTACAGAATGTGATGACTCAGGGACCTCAGACCGCTGCAGCGGAAGGGGAGAGAGGTTCCAGGGACCTGTAAGAGCAAGCCGCTCGGAGGATCAGGTGAGTATAACTTGACCCTTGGAAAAAAGGCACTTAACCCTTGCAGTGCAGGGGTACCCAGAGTTCTGCTTTAAGGCTTGAAGAAGAGGTACATAGCTGCACTCCTCATTTTTTTTCCTGCCCCACCAATAAGTGGGAGATGGGGACCCATCAGAAGCCTCCAGCGTCACAGGAGTGATGCCAGGAGATACAGCATGACATCACCTAGCTAGTCCCTCAATGATATTACAGCTTTAGCAGAGTGATAGGATGCTGAATATAAGCTCTAAATAGCAAACAGCCATTTTCATTCCCATCTATTATTATACTTTAGGACCAATTAGTGCTCATAAAATTCTAGAAAGCGGCTTTTTACAGCATCCAGACAATACAGCCGCCAAGCCTCATTAACTCTTTAACAGGAAACAAAAATTAGGTATCAGAATATTCTCATGTAACAGGAATATCTCCAACACAATGTCAAAATATGATGTCAGCCAATGGCTTTAGTCTATAATCTGAATTCTGCCCTTTAAATTAGAGATCTGTAAGGAAACCTTATCAATATACAGTATACTGTATGTGAATGATGATAACAGCCTAATGTAAATGAGTAATAAGGTTTTCAAAATGTTTCCTTGTATAGATTACTTGCTTCCTGCTTAGCAGTGCTGTACATGGGACTGTAGCTCACTGCTGCTCTTTTTTATTGCAGTTCAGATTGGACCTGACTGAACCAAGAGACTTTATAACAAGGCTGATCTCAGCAGTAAATTGGGTATCATAGTCCATGATATACAGAGGTTAAAAGTCCAAAAAGACACCACCACAAAAGTAGTGAGACTCCAAAATATTTACAATAATGGTGTTCATTTAGAACAAGACAATATAACAGCCAGGGGTACAAAGAACTCCCCCTTCTTCAGGGCTCAAAATATTGTATGTAAAATCAGGAGGATTTAAAATGGCACAATCACCACTTGGAAGATAAAAACAAAGAAAAGTGCCCAGACAAATAAAGCAGCAGCAGCGTGCATTGATTTGTTACACATGGATTCCAAGCTTTGGGTCCTCCAGCTAGGGGTACACTGGTTTGTGAAGAGAGCAGCCTCGCTAGGAGCAACTGCATCCTACGCGAGTTTGATCCACTTTCTTCAACCATAGCCCTTTGATGAGTTGAATCCAGCTCCTAAAAATCACGCACGTCCCATGATATACTAGAGAAAACATTTATATATCTTCTGTATGGGATGTACAGTAATAAAAATATGAATTTCACCCAAAAAGTGACTTTCAAGCAGTAGGAATACCTCTACATGTTGCAATAAGGACTCAAAAAGGTGTGCTTACAGAAACCAGAGCACAGTTTAGGTTTCTCTCTGGTTCCTTTAAAGGCTACTATCGTTTCCTTCTAAATCTGCTAGTTTCCAGGCTGTCTTTGGCTTTAAAGAGACACTGTCACTCTGCCCATTTAGAGAAAAGTGGCAGTCTCTGTAAGATGTCCTCTTATTGACCTACTGATACGCAATCCCCCAATGGCACCAAAATACCCAGCGACACAAGAGGGAGCAGAGACTTCACCAACTGTGTCATAGGATAGTACCTGGACCCAGTGATCGAGTGCTAGACCTGAGAAGGTCACATGCTCCCTCATATCCAGGAGCACCAGGTACATTAAGTCGGCTGAGCTACACACAGAGGGGGGGGGGGGGGGGGACACAGGAGGGGAGA